GTGATGGCGGGTTGAGAACAACTTGGTTCTTTCAAAAGATGATTCTGAAATTTCTTCAATACAAACAATGTCTCTACTACCACCGTCCATGAATTTCGGAGCAATATATTTTCTATGAAAATCGGCCCCTACACAGATATATTATATTGATACAGAATGGAGAAATCACGCAGAAAGGGGATATACGCTATGAAATCATGGAGTATCTTCTATTTGAGAAATTTTGGGGAAATTGATAGTGATAGATACGTGAGAAACACAAAGAGATATTTTAAGTGAGAGAGAACATCACGGAGAGATTTTAGGAATTAAAAAATTGTATAATTTAATTAAAAAGGTATGATTTTAAAAAAAATTGTACTAAAAGTAATTTTATTAAAGCAGTTGTAGAAAATATAAATAAATAATCGATTTGGTCCTTTACTACTCCTTCCGTCTCATTTATGTGGCGTTTGAATTGTTAAAATAGCACGGGCTAGTCAGTTTTCAGACTGGTCATTCAAAAATAGCTAGCGTTTGCAAAGTCATTAAAAATAGCCACTATTTTGCTGCAATAGGGATCGGTCCAGCATAATATACTGGAGATCGGTGCACCTGTGCATGAACTTCCAGCATATTATGCTGGAACTCCAACACGTGGAAAGTTCCAGCATAATATAATATACTGGAGATTGGAGCACCTGTGTATGAATTTCCAGCATATTATACTGGATCGGTATATTATACTGGAACTCCAGTATATTATGCTGGATTTCCAGTATACTTATGCTGGAACTCCATTATAATATACTGGAGTTCCAGTATACTTATGATGGAACTCTAGTATATTATGTTGTGGCTATTTCGATTACTTTTGAAATTGTGGCTATTTTTGAATGACCACTTGTAAATCTGGCTATTTTTGAATTTCTCCCGTTTGAATTTCGAGATTGAAATAATTATTTTTGCAATTATTCAAACGTAAATGTTGTAAATTATATAAATTACAGTTACCAAAACAAAATGTTGTAAATTATAGTACTATTTACATATTTTTAACTACATAAATTTTATTTCAAAAAATTTAAAGATTTAATTTTTAATTTACTATTAAAATTAAAAAGTTTTCGTGGCGTAAATTGAGACACAGGGAGTAATACATAGATGTGGTTAACTCAAAGTCAGAATTTAAAAGGATTTTTCTTTGATAGGACAGTGATGTAAAAAGATTTGAGCAATCAAAGCCCTCATCTCATTCCAATACTCTCATTTGATTTTGACAAAAAAGATAAACTGTGGATCAATTCGTTACTCCCATTTCGTTATTGGCTATAATTATATTATTATCCTGAGTTCCACCTTGCATTAGTACTGTTCAGAATTATACAGTTTATAGTACTTCGTTTTCGGTGATTGTACAAATACGTCAAATGAAAAATTAATCATCACTTTGCTAATAATTCAATTTGAATTTCCTTTTTACCCTTAGTCGAGGGTCTCTCGTAAACAGTATCTTTACCTTGACAAAGTTGAGATTAAATATGTACACACTATTATTTTCAGACCCCACTTCTGTGGGATTATATTAGGATTTTTGTTGTTTTTATCCTTAGTAATATAATTTCTAGTCATAAAAATTTAGACCATAAATTTTAAAAATTATATTATTTATTTCTTAAATTGAAACGAAGGGAGTAAATCTTATTGTCACGTGTGTTTGTCAAAACAATTTAATTCTAAAATTTATTCTATTAGTGTAATTTAAGTTTCTTATTTTATTATATTATGTTTAATATCGTAAATTTCAAAATAATATACGTACACTAATTTTACTAATGAACAAAAAAGTCACGTCACTTTCAAAGTATGTTTCTTGTTCTCCTCGGAGTCAAGTCATGCCATCATTTGTAACGTACATTTTACAGAATCATTTTGATTACGACAATTCTGACCACTCCTTATAAGATTGAATTTATACGGAATATCTTTTTCCTTTGTTTGGTTAAATTATTTGAAAGTGAAATATGAGTGACAACTATATTACGATTTTTTCTCGTCCACTCAGGGTGGCAGACACACCTGCGTGGATTATATTATAGGTGACAGTTACAAGAATGACGGGAAAGTTAATCGTGTCTGACGACGTTCAAGGATGTATATAGACCCATCGGGCAGGGATAATCATTTCCGTTCTAAGAGAAGTGGCGACCATTCTCAAGAACCAAAAAGACTGAGCTAAGGGAAGCCCTGTGAGTTACTGAAACGACGATAAAAGTGCCCCTTTTTATCAATAAAGGGAGCAAAAAACGGTGATTTCTATCATGATTTCTGATTTCAATTTACTAGATCTTCATCATATAACCTGTAAAAAAAGAGTTAACAAAATTAAAAGAAAATAACTCAAATATTGAACTATACATTTATAGCACAGAATTTAATACAAAAAAAAAGTGCTCGGCTTTTCAGTTTTTTCAACAAAAGTGGATCTCAATTTTACTGTCTTCATCATCAGCAATAAGACAAACTGGACAACGATGGAGCACTAAAATAGGGTACGCTAACTCCAAAACTATCCAACGGCCATTTTCTGAAAATTGGAAATTAATAAAGGCATTGTTTTTGGCAGATTTCTAGTAACTTTTTTAAAAAGGAAAAGGGAGAATATTTTAAGGTAATGTAAGGTAAACTCATACACACACACACCAAAAAAAAATTAGTAACTTCACATTTAACCGTGAGTTTTAACTTTTATATGCTTTTTAAATATTAGTATAAATTATTAAATCATTATGACTTATAGTACTTTTTTAATTAGTTTTATATTTGTTAATTTTATTTTAGAAATTTTATGTTTGAATTCACAATCAAAATTAAGAAATTTAACAGTCAAAATTTAAAAAGTATTATATCTTTTTTTTNGAGCTGGAAAGCGTTAAGTAGGACTAGTATTAATTTGACATAGTACAATACAGAAGGCCAAAAGTACAGATCGAACTTCGAAGTGCAGCACATGCAGAGCTACTGTTAAGTACAAGTAGTAATAACTGCGACTAATATTTCCTTCTATGCAGTGGCTTCATGTATTCCTTTCCTCTGTCACATTTAATATATTACTTACAGTTTTTGATATGTCTAATAAGGAAAAAAGTCTGTTTAAAAGTAATTACATTTTAATATTTTTATTATATACATAATGATATGATTAATTTGTTACGACACAATTGATAGAGATTTCATTCTTTTATAATTAAGGAGAGAAAAAATAAAAAGAAATGAACTTTTTATATCACTCTGAATGTCGGGTGAATGACAGATTGATGGCGATTAAGTTAGTAGTTGGAGGGAGCACTCTGAATGTCGTTAGCACGTACGCGCCGCAAGCGGACTTGGACGAGGAGGTTAAAATGCGCTTCTGAGAGGGGTTGGATGAGGTGGTGTGGGGTATTTCGTCAACGGAGAAGTTATTTATAGGAGGGGATTTCAATGGTCATATTGTGTCGTCGGCTGGGGGTTATGGCGAGGTGCACGGTGGCTTCGGCTTTGGGTATAGGAATAGAGGTGGTACTTCTCTATTGGATTTCGCTAGGGCTTTTGAGTTGGTGATCGCGAACTCTAGTTTTTCGAAGAGGGAGGAGCATTTGGTTACTTTCCGGAGTATGATGGCTACGACCAGATTGATTATATCATCCTCAAGAGGTGTGATAGGAGGTTGTGCGAGGATTGTAAGGTGATCCCGAGTGAGAACCTCGCGACTCAACATATGCTCCTGGTGATGGATGTCGGTATCGTGATAAAAAGGAAGAAGAGGTTTGTACGGGGTCAACCGCAGATCAGATGGGGTGCTTTGGCTAAGGATAATGCGCATGAGTTGGAGGGGCGGTTGATGGCTATGGGTGCCTGGAAGAGTGGTGGGGATGCTAGCGCTATGTGGACGGCGATGGCAAACTGTATATAGGTATTAAGGGTCTCAAAGGGCTACTATGATGGGCACCGAGGCGACTGGTGGTGGAATGATGTGGTCTGAGGTAAAGTGGAAGCAAAAAAATGGCGTACCTTACGTTAGTGGAGAGTACCGACGAGGAGCAAAGGAGAGCAAACAGAGTAAGGTATAAGGAAGCTAAGAAGGAGGCGAAATTAGCGGCCACAGAGGCTAAGACTACTGCTTTTGATCGGTTGTATGAGGAACTGGGAGACAAATGTGGGGACAAAAAGCTATTTCGGCTGGCCAAAGCAAAAGAGAAGAAGGCTCGTGACCTGGATTAAGTAAGGTGCATCAAATACGAGGAAGGTAGAGTATTGACGAAACACTCCCTGATTAAGCATAGATGGTAGGCGTACTTTCGTAAACTTCTGAATGAAGAGGGGAGTGGTAGCATCGTGCTAGGGGAGTTGGGACACTCCGAGAGTCACCGAGACTTTGGGTACTGTAGACGTATCAAGGTTGAGGAGGTAGTGGGAGCTGTGGGTAAGATGAGTCTGGGCAAAGTGATTGGACCGACGAGATTCCAGTAAAATTTTGGAGATTTGTGGGTAGAGTAAGCTTAGAATGGCTGACTGGGTTGTTAAATGTTATTTTCAGAACGAAGAGGATTCCAGATGAGCGGAGATGTAGTATGATGATTCCGCTATTTAAGAACAAAGGTGATATCCAGAATTGTAACAATTATAAGGGCATCAAGTTGTTAAGTCATACCATGAAAGTTTGTGAGAGGGTGGTAGAAGGGAAGGTGAAGAGGGCGGTATCTATTTCTAAAATCCAGGGAACATCACAGGGATAGGAAGAGGAATTTGCACATGGTGTTTGTTGACCTAGAAAAGGCATATGACAAGATCCCTGGGGACGTTCTTTGGAGATGCCTGGAAGTGAAAGGGGTATCGGTAGCATATATTAAATCGATAAAGGATATGTATGATAGAGCTAAGACTCGGGTCAGGACTGCGGGAGGTGACTCCGAGCTTTTTCGGTGATTATGGAGTTACACTAAGGATCTGCGCTTAGCCCATTCTTATTTGCTCTGGCGATGGATGCCTTGACACACCATATTCAAGAAGAGGTGCCACGGTGTATGTTGTTCGCTGATGATATAGTTCTGATCGATGAGTCGCGTAGCGGTGTTAATGAGAGACTGGAGGTGTGGAGGCAGGCTCTCGAGTCAAAAGGTTTCAAATTGAGTAGGACCAAGACGGAATATCTAGAGTGTAAGTTCAGTGGCGTGACGGGGGAAGCGGACGGGGTAGTGAGGCTCGACTCACAAGTCATCCCCAAGAGAGAAAGTTTCAAGTACCTAGGGTCTATTATCCAGGGAGATGGGGAGATTGACGGGGATTTCAGGCACCGCATTGGGGTGGGGTAGATAAAATAATGGTTAGCATCTGGAGTCCAGTGTGACAAGAGGGTGCCACCGAAACTCAAAGGTAAGTTCTGCAGAGCGGTGGTTCGGCCGACTATGTTATATGGGGCTGAGTGTTGGCCAGTTAAGAATTCACATATCTAGAAGATGAAAGTAGCCGAGATGAAGATGTTGAGATGGATGTGCGGACATACTAAACTTGATAAGATAAGGAATTGAGGTATTTAGGATAAGGTGGGCGTTGCTCCCTGGACGACAAGATGCGGGAAGCGAGACTTAGGTGGTTTGGGCACGTGCAGAGGAGAACCATAGATTCCTCGGTTAGGAGGTGCGAGCCATTGGCTTTAGCAGGTACCAGAAGAGGTAGAGGGCGGCCTAAGAAGAATTTTGGCGAGGTGATCAGGCAAGACATGGCGCGACTTCAGATTTCCGAGGACATGGCTCTTGATAGGAACGTGTGGAGGTTGAAAATTAGGGTTGTATGCTAGGGGGTAGTTCATAGTTTTTCCTTCTTTGTACCGGGTATTCTGATAGAGTTTTGCCTATGTCTATTAGCGGTCTATGTTGTGTTCACACTATTTTGTTGTTTTGCATAGGATTGTATTATTGCACTCCATTTCACTTGTTTGGTGTATCTTAAGATATTATTATTACTTTTCTTGCTTTTTTTGTTGTTACAGATCTCTTCTTTCGTTTCTTTTCTGATATTATTGTCTCTTCTGTTGAGCCGAGGGTCTCCCGAAAACAGCCTCTCTACCCTTCTAGGGTAGGGGTAAGGTCTACATACATCCTACCCTCCCCAGACCTCACTAGTGAGATTTTACTGGGTATATTGTTGTTGTTGTTGTAAGTCTTTTTTAATTTCTTAAACTTTTATACAATTTGGTGCGAATATAGGATCGATAACGGGTTCATATGGACTCAGTACTTTCACTACGGAAATATAAATGTGTATGTAAAAATTAATTAAAATTACACTTAAAAGAAAAAAAGTTGGATATTCTTTTTTCAAAACAAGATGAAGGAATGCAAGTAATTGGTTGATCCACCACACATATATCATAAATTGCAGAGAGTGAAAGTGATTGCTCAACTCCTGCTTTCATTTCAGTGTATATTCTGACTTGCTCTTACTTTTTACACCAATAACTGCTATTGAAAAGAGGAAAAAGGTGATACAAAGTGCAGTCAAAATTAGGAAATTGGGGTAATAATACTCATCAGTCATCACATGCATGGCTTCAACCACAATTGGATGTGGAGGTCCCAGGTCTATGTACACCAACTTTTGTAAACATTTGGTCTGCCTTTCAATTCAATTTATTTAGCAAGCGTTTGGATATAAATTTGGTTGAGATTTGAAAAAAGAGTTTTTAAAATTGTGTTGAAAATAATTTCAAAAGTTGAAATTATATTTGGACATGTATTTTATTTAATAAAATGTTAAAGTTTTATAAGTGGAAGAAAAAATTTCACCGCAAAACTGTAAATTCACGGCCAAAATATTTTACCTAAAAACTGTAAATTTACTCGGAAAAGAAAAATTAATTTGTTTTCCAAAAACTGATCATATTTGATGAACATACATTATTTTCAATAAAAAATATAGCCAAAATGTATGACCAAACAGGAGCTTCCATGTCTTGCTTTGCTTTGTTTTTTAATATGTTTAGAGAAGAATTATGTAATCCTTTTGAATATAGTTAGTTCAGAATTTTAATATTCTCATTTTATCTATGATAATATGATATTTAAATTATATGATTTAAGGAGTATTTTGATATATTATCAACAATTAATTTAAAGTTGCAAGATACATAATTTTTTCTTTAATTATATTATTAAATTTCGTGCCCAATCAAATTATGACATAAAAGGCTAAATACATAGACAACCCATTAAACTTGACCCAATTTTTTATTTTGGTACTTTAACTCAGCCTTGTTCCATTTTGGCCCTCCAACCCCAATTATTTTGTTCCACTTTGATACTAAAGCTGACTAGATTCCATGTGTGATTTGCCTCACCCTTGTAGGCGCGTGACAACCATTTTTTAAGCCAAATTTCATACTCCCAACGTAGAGACGGATCCAAAATTTAAATCCTATGGATTCAATTTTAATGTTTTTAACATTGAACCCATTATATTTTTAAAGTTATGGGTTTATATCTATTTTTTTTTTATGATTTTAATGAATTTTTACATACAAATTTTTACTCCGCGTCGAAAGTTATAGGTTCAGTTGAACCCGTAGTTATTACTGAAAATATATATATAAAAAATATTTTTTTCACGGGAGGGGGGCAGAAAAAATGAAAATAATAATAATTTGAAATTACAAAATAAAATAATTTTTTTGCGGGGGCAGTGGGGTTGGGGTGGGGGTAGCAACTGGATATTTGTTCGCGCTGCATTTTTACCTGGGGTAAAAGTTTTTGTGTCAAAGTGGAACAAAAGAACTCATTATATTCTTAAATGTTATGGGTTTATATCTATTTTTTTTATAATTTTAATAAATTTTTACATACAAATTTTTACTCAACGTCGAAAGTTATGGGTTCAGTTAAACCCGTAGTTATTACTTAAAATATATATAAAAAACATTTTTCCCCGGGATGTGGGCAGAAAAAACGAAAAAAATAATAATTTAAAATTACAAAAAAAGTAATTATTTTTGTGGGGNTGTGTCAAAGTGGAACAAAAGAAATGGGATTGGAGGGCCAAAATGGAACAAGGCTAAGTTAAAATGCCAAAATGAAAAATTGGGCCAAGTTTAATGGTCTGTATATGTATTTGGACGACATAAAATATAGAAGGAAGTTACATACACAAAGGGAGAGAGAGAAAGTGTACGTGTGAGGAAGGGGGAGGGGGGGCAGAGACGGAGATATGATTTTAGCTAGGAGTGGCAAAATGGTTCAAAGAAAACAGTTAACCACCCATATTGTCCACTAAAAAATGGGTTGGATAATGAACTTTTTAAAAACGGGTCAAATATGGATAAGAATCATATTATCCATTTAGAAAATAGATAACCAATGAGTAACCAATGGATAACCAATGAGTCTAATTTTTACATTTGTAAAGGCTCAAATTGGGGGTTTCTCAAGTTAGAGAGACTAAGAATTCTTCCAAAAGTGATCATATACAAGAAGTCATGCATAATATGGGTAACTCATATTATCCGCCGGTTAACCATTTTTTATCCGTATTAAATATGGGTCGGGTCGGATAATTGATCCGTTTTTTATTACCCGTTTTCATCCCGAACCATATCCGACCCGACTCGTTCGTTTGCCACTCCTAATTTTAGCCTTATAAATTCTAGATTTTAGGACAATAACTTCATGTGTTAGTGACTTATTTTAAATTTACTATTTGTATATATTTAATGAATTTTTTTAGCACAAATATAATATTTAAATCTATTAAGTTTGGTCAAAATCTGTAGCACGACTTCTTCCTAAGGTGGGTCAGAGGATCGAGGGAGTAATAATATATATATCCAATATTCAAAGTTTCAATTATTTCACCACTCTAGTATTCTGCTGGCAGTGACTGAGAGTCCACTTTGCAGCTTGCAGAAAAAAAATAAGTTTTCTTAAATGTGAAAAATTAACGTAGTACAGTGAGCTTGAGACTTCTGCTGGAGTAGTAATTATTTTTCAGAGAGTAATAAAAATGTACATTCATTTCTCATTACCTGTAATTACTACGTACTAGTACTACATACTCCATCAGTTTGACTTTTACTTGGCACGTTTTGACTTTTTACGTCTCTTAAGAAATAATAAATGAAGTGCATAATTTATCATGATACTGTAACGATCCGGTCATTCGTTCTGAGAGTTATAGCCTCATTTCCCCCATCTATGCTTATTTATGTGTTGTTCAGTTGTGTTGAGTTGTATCGAATTATTAGGTTTGATCGGAGTAGTTTTGAAGTGAAATGAACACTTAGTCTCTAAGTTAGAAAGTCAAGTTAGAAAAGTCAACCGAAAGTTGACTTATGAGTAAACGAATTCGAATTTGGATTTTTATGATTCGATTAGCTTCGTTGAGTGATTTTAGACTCAGGAGTATGTCCGGAATATAATATGGATATCAATGGTAGAATTAGGCTTGAATTGGCGTAACTTGGAAATTTAGAAGTTCTTAGGCTTTAATTCGAGGTTGATTTGGTGTTTTGGGTGTTCCGGAGGTTCGACTAAGTTCGGGTAGTGATATATGACTTGTTTGAATTTTTGGTTGAGGTCTCGAGGGCCTCGAGTGAGTTTCAGATAGGTTTGGGTTGTGTTGCACTCGTTTTTCTTATGGTTCGACGTTGTTTCTTCAAGCATAAATGATATCATATTGAACAAATGAGCTCTGATTTTTTTGATTGAAGCATTAAATCCGTATCACAATTACGGACCCGTAACAAAAAGAATCGTAGAATTTGGACATCGTATGGGGATTTTAGGGTCATTTTACTAAGAATTAGGTTGCCAGATTTTTCAGATTAATTGCAAAATTGCCACTAACGGGGTATTTAAAAATCAGCACTATTTGCAAATATTGAAACCAACATATCTTATTCATTATAAGGTCAAATTGAGTGATTCAAAAGCCTAACTTGACTAGAATTTCACAAGAAATTCACTGGAGGCATAAAATGCAGGTTTCAGGATTGTTTGGCATGAGAAACGAGGCAGAATAACTGGCAGAAAAATATATAAAATAAGGGTTTGTTTATTCGATCATATTTTGAGTTGGGGAGCTCGGATTTGGGCGATTTTGGAAGCGATTTTCACCATGTGGATTGGGGTAAGTGTTTTCTACTCGATTTTAGTTATATTTCATGAATCCATCATCGTTTTTAGGATTAGATTGATGATTTTAATGTGAAATTGAGGGAGTTAGAATTTGAGTTTTGGAGAGTTTTAAGTGAGGATTTGAGGGACCAAACAGAGTCCGATTTTGATAAATTTTATATGGTTAGACTCGGGAGAGAATGAGTTTTATTATTTTGCCATTTTGACTGATTCCGAGATGTGGGCCCGAGGGCTGGATTTTGGCCGATTTCGAATTTTTGGCATATTTTGTAGTTTTTATTGTGGAATTCGATTCTTTAGCACATGGTGATGGTATTAATCTGATTATGGTTAGATTCAGAGCTTTTGGATACAGAGTCCAGAGACGAGGGCATCCTAGAGTAGGATTTTACGCTGTTGAGGTAAGTAACAGTTTCTCTAGTTTTGAGGGTATAAACCCGAAGAATTTGATATCATGTGATTGTTTGGTGGTGATACCCATGCTAGGTGACGGGCGTATGAGCGTGCACTGCGAGGGATTGAGACTTGGTTCGTCACGTGAGGATGTGAGGCCTAATGGCGATTATCTATAGTTATGTGTTTACTTGTTGTTGAAGTTGTTTGCCTTCATGTTAGAGATCATTTTTAGGCTTTATTCATGCTCACATTATTTGTACTCAGTCATAGAAATTATTGTATATGTTTACCTAAGCCTCTATTATTTGCTAATATGTTGTGATACTTGATGTGAGCTGTGTTCCCTTATTTGTTGATGATGGTGAGGCTAGTGAGGTACATAATTGAGTAAGGACGAGGGCCTCATTGTGATGATATTAATACCATAGCACGTAAGTTGTCCGCGTAGCACGTGAGTTGACCATGCGGGTCCAGGTATTGATACCATAGCGCGTGAGTTGTCCGCGTAGCACGTGAGTTGACCATGAGGATCCAGGTATTGATATGATGGCACGTGAGTTGTCCGTGCTTAGCGTTTGGGCTTTGGGAGCCCCTCTGTAGTCTGTACACACCCCCAATGAGCGTAGAGTGTTGAGTGTTGAGTGCTGAGTGCGAAGGATGAGTGACGTTGCATTTACTTTTGCTATTTCTGCATTTATCTGTTAAATTTCTTTGTGGTATTTAGTGAGTTATGGAATTTACCTGTTTATTCATGTTTATTTTTTTTTTAAATTGTGAAAATAAATAATTGGACTGTTTTACTTAGCTCGTCACTACTGCTCAGTTCCTTAGTTATTTCTGTTACTACTGAGGTGGTTGTACTCATACTACACCCTGCACTTTATGTGCAGATCCAGGTGAGTTAGGGCGCGACGATCGTTGATTTTAGGCCGGCTATCTGTGGAGATTGCAAGGTAGCTGCCAGCGTTCGTAAGATCTTGTTACTCCTCTTGTCATTTCTTCTTTTGGACAGTTAGACAGTTTATATATCTTAGTTTATAGTGTTAGACACTCATGACTTAGTGACACCCCGATGTTTGGGATTCGTTTCCGTATTTTTTTATATATTATATTTAGAGTTGATTTAGTTTATGAAAAATTTAAATGTTGAAATATTTTATTAAATTCTTATAATCAAATTAGTTGTAATATTTTGGGAATAAGCTTGCCTTGTAACACGATAGGCGCCATCACGACCATGGTTAGATTTTGAGTCGTGACAAGATGGTATCAGAACCTAGGTTACATAGGTCTCACGAGTCATGAGCGGGTTTAGTAGAGTCTTGCGGATCGGTACGGAGACGTCTGTACTTATCTTTGAGAGGCTGCAGAACCTTTAGGAAAACTTCACCTTCTTGAATTCTTATCATGTGGTATTGATTCAGCTTGAAGTGTAACTCTTTGAATTCCTTCCACGCATTCGTATGCGCACATGAGCGCTCGGTATCAGTTATGCATCGACAGATTGTGATTCCCTGGATGAGTTGCGGGATGTGATTTCTGTGTGTTGATGTTGGGCCAGTCTAGAGGACTTGAGGCCGGGTTTTGACTGTAGCTTGAGCACTTAGGTGTTGATTGTGTGAGCGCGTGCTTGTTGACTTATATGTCCGGTAGTGTCCCTATTAGTGGAAACGGTGGCTGGATGGATACGTGATGAGTATGATGTGACCGCGAGATGAGTTCATCTAATTTGAATGTGACGAGAAGGTACTGCTGAAGGTTTCACCTATTTGAGACTCCAGGTATGTTTTGTTTTCAGACTCGTTCGAGGACGAACGTTTATTTAAGAGGGGGAGGATGTAACGACCCGGTCGTTTGTTCTGAGAGTTATAGCCCCATTTCCCCCATCTATGCTTATTTATGTATTGTTCAGCTGTGTTGAGTTGTATCGAGTTGGTAGGTTTGGTTCGGAGTAGTTTTGAAGTGAAATGAACCCTTAGTCTCTTAGTTAGAAAGCTAAGTTAGAAAAGTCAACCGAAAGTTGACTTATGAGTAAACGAATTCGAATTTGGATTTTTATGATTCGATTAGCTTCATTGGGTGATTTTAGACTTAGGAGTGTGTCCGAAATATAATTTGGAGATCCGTCGTAGAATTAGGCTTGAATTGGAGAAACTTGAAAGTTTAGAAGTTCTTAGGCTTGAATTCGAGGTTGATTTGTTATTTTGGGTGTTCCGGAGGTTCGACTAAGTTTGGGTAGTGATATATGACTTGTTTGAATTTTTGGTTGAGGTCCCGAGGGCCTCGAGTGAGTTTCAGATAGGTTTGGGTTGTGTTGCACTCGTTTTTCTTATGTTTCGACGCCGTTTCTTCAAGCATAAATGATATCATATTGAACAAATGAGCTCTAATTTCTTTTTTTGATTGAAGCATTAGATCCGTATCGCAATTACGGACCCGTAGCAAAAAGAATCGTCGAATTTGGAGATCGTATGAGGATTTTAGGGTCATTTTACTAAGAATTAGGTTGCCATATTTTTCAGATTAATTACGAAATTGCCACTGACGGCGTATTTAAAAATCAGCACTATTTGCAAATATTGAAACCAATATATCTCATTCATTATAAGGTCAAATTGAGTGATTCAAAAGCCTAACTTGACTAGAATCTCACAAGGAATCCATTAGAGGCATAAAAAGCGAGTTTTAGAATCGTTTGCCACGAGAAAGGAGGCAGAATAGCTGGCAGAAAAATATATAAAATAAGGGTTTGTTCATTCGATCATATTTTGAGTCGGGAGCTCGGATTTGGGCGATTTTGGAAGCGATTTTCACCATATGGATTAGGGTTAGTGTTCTCTACTCGATTTTGGTTATATTTCATGAATCCATCACCGTTTTTGGGATTTGATTGATGATTTTAACGTGAAATTGAGGGAGTTAGGGTTTGAGTTTTGTAGAGTTTTAAATGAGAATTTGAGGGACCAAACGGAGTTCGATTTTGATAAATTTTATATGGTTAGACTCGGGAGAGAATGGGGTTTATTATTCTGTCATTTTTGACTGATTCTGAGACGTGTGCCCGGGGGCTAGATTTTGGTCGATTTCGGATTTTTGGCATATTTTGTAGTTTTTATTGTGGAATTCGATTCTTTAGCACATAATGATGGTATTAATCTGATTATGGTTAGATTCGAAGCTTTTGGAGACGGACTCCAGAGACGAGGGCATCCAAGAGTAGGATTTTACGCTGTTGAGGTAAGTAACAGTTTTTACTCTGGCTTTGAGGGTAAACCCGGAGAATTTGATATCATGTGATTGTTTGGTGGTGATACCCATGTGTAGACATGTAATTTTTTACCCTTCCCGAAATTTTACTCATTTTAGTATTTAGATATTTATTTTAAGTCCATAATTGCTATTTTGATTATATTTTACTTTTTTGCTTTAGTTTATCTTTAAAATAAAAATTACAAAAATATTTTCCTTTATGCTAGCTAATTATTATTTTTACTAGTAACTTTTAGTTTTTCTTACTTTTCATAAAATAAAAAAAAGAGAGTCATATTTTTGGTTTGCAAAAATATGAAAAAGAAAAGTTCAATACATATATATATTTATTTGTGTCTATTTGATGTAGTGTAGGTCTTAAATTAAATTTCTAACAGTAGATTGAAAGATTTTATACTACCTTAAGAATATAGTTATTTTATTTTCCTTCATAGTCCTTTTTTCATTTAGGAGTAGTATTATTATGTGCTCACGTTTGATTTAGCTAAAGGAAAATCAGAAAAAAAAATCTAAAAGACAAAAGAAAAACAAAAAGAAGAAACCAACGAAACAAAATTAGAAGGAAAGGAACGGATGAAGCAAAATGAAAAGGGAATAAAATTAAAAATGTGGACCCCACCCACACCTTGCACACTTAAACGTTCTTCTCCGTTCTGTTTCCAAGAACAGATTCAAAATGCATACTTTATTTTGCTTTCTATATTTGCTATATATTTTATATATTTTCTTTTTGTCTTGAATAATAAAGAGACTACATTTTGAAAACCCTAGTATAAAATGCTCTCAACCTCATTCTTGAGAGGGAGCACCTTCACATCCTCTTTTTCTCCCTTACAAAAGAAGGCAGCCATCTTCACACAAGAACACCCGGACACATGCACACAGAAAAGGGACGGACACAAAGAAATGGAAAAAAAAACTTAGAGAAAACGAGGGGGATGAAACAGTGACAAAATTAAGGAATTCGCTGACAACTGACTCCACTTTTTCTTCTTTTTATTTCTAGCAGACCACTAGATATTTTAAAAACATTGAAACACGTCATCTTCCTTTTCAAACTTCAATTCTCTTTTCATTTCCTTGTTGACCGACGACAGCCGCCAACTCCGCCACCACCCTCCACCGTGCTCAGCTTTGAGGGTTTTCATAAGTTTGCAGTTCGCATGCTCGACGCTTTGCCTCAGTAATCAGAACTCTTAGACCTCAAATTAATTCGACACTAAGCAGTGAAATGTGGTTTGGTTGAGAGATCCGAGTTTCGGCAAAAGCTTGCAGTTGAGTTCCTAGTGAGTTCGTCGTTCGAGGTTGTGGATCCGAGTTTCGGTTGTGGTTCGATCACAATTCAATTGAGACAGATTATTTGTTGTACATCTTGCTGGGAATTTTAATTAAAATTGGAGAAGCTCCTACCTTAAGTGAGGTCCATTTCTCTTTCTCCTCCTAATTTGACATTATTTCAGTACTTACTTTAATTAATTTCTCTACTATGTTTATTTGTGCCTAGTTTACTTATTACTTGAAATTCATTTGATAAATATTTAGTTATGGTTTGTCTGTTGGCTTTATTCCTAATTGTATCTGTTGGATAAGAGAATATTTAGGCAGAAAAGTAATCAAGAATTGAAGTAGGATAAATTCTAGTAATATGAATTGTTAGAGCAAATGGGTTATAGGGGGTTGGCTTTTAAAATGTGAAAGAAATTGAGCTTAAATAATCTTGCTTCTTTTACTTTATCCATTTATGAATTTAATCGCTAAGAGCATGTTTAGGTCCGGTAGCACCTGGGTAGGCAAACTTTAGGATTTTTGTTAGTTTTGAGGCGAGAGGTCGTTCCTTTAGTTAAATTTATCCGGGGAATGCCCCGAAGGATTTGTATATATTTTATTCCGGGGTATGCCCCGAAGTATTTGTACTTGGAGATCGATAATAGAATTCGTAGTATTTTTATTTTTATTTTTATTTTCATTTTCATTTTCATTTTTATTTTCTTTTTATTAGGTGGGGACGACCTCGAGCCTCGTGTGTGTTTATTTTGCTTTCCCGTGATTTTACCTCAACTTGAATATTTTAAAAGCCAACTAGACCGAGTACGCAACCGTGACTTTCACGGGACTTGGGGAGTGCTTAACACCTTCTCCCTGAGTCAAATGAACCCCTTACCCAAATCTCTGGTGCGGACTTAGTTTTGGAGTCCAAAGTGTTTTAAAGGAAAAATTATTTTTAAAAAAAATGGTGACCTGGCACACCGAAACCAATGTCAGGTGGTGACTCTGAGTTATTTCCTTTTGAACACAAATTTTGTCACTTTTTAATTAAAACCCCTTTTTCGAGCTTTACTAAATATTTTTATTTATTTTAGAGAGGTTAGCGAGTTTTGTAAAAAAAAATGGTGTGACATCTCTGGCGACTCCGCTGGGGACTTGCAGGTTCGAGCTGACACTTGATCTTGTTGGCTTTTAGGATATTTGGTTGAGGTGTTTGTTTTCTTTATTTGCTTTGTTTGTCTTATTTCCTTGTTTTGTTGGTTATTTGTTTATCGCTTTTCTTAATGTGTTACTGCTTTATAAACTGTCATTATTTGCATAACCATGGGTCTTCTTTTTGCAACAAGTCTCGGAGTACGCGTCGCGTGCACGAATTCTTTGTTGAGTAACCCTTAATTTAGGAGGGGGGCCGTCGGACTTATGGAGTGGATGGAAAGCTTGAGCAGCCACCATCGACCATACGCTCCCCCGAATTGCCTTGTTAGTGAACCACAAACTTAGGTTAGCCTTTAGATCATTTTTATTTGCATCATGTCATTTAGACCTAGTAGGGCTCGGTCCCAGGTACCGTATCCCTTTGTAGGAAGCTTATCCAAATTTTGTCAAAATGGGCCCGTGGCCCAAAAAGACATTTAATCATCCCTATGTGATACATGTTGCATCTTTGAGGGTAAAAAAGTCATTTGGCGGATCAATGTTTGGGAAAGAAGGGTGAAAAATGAAGCAAGTAGGGCCTAGTTATAGTTTTCTTTCACAACTTTTTCGAGAAAAAAAACAAAAAAAAAAATTGAAAAAGAAAATCCAATTTTTTTTTACATTTTCCATCATTTTTCAAAAATTCAAAAAAAATGAGAAAAAGAAAATCAAAAAAGATTTTATATTTTTCATCATTTTTTTTAAAAGAAAAAGACAAAAAATATATTTTTTCCAAATTAGTGTCATTTTTAAGCTTTCTCCCATATCCAATCTTCCCGAACTACGCATACCTGATTCTCGTCTTTCGGGGCGGAATACGTCGGCAGCCCACATAGGGTCCGGTCTTCTTAGTAAGTTTTAGATTCTTGGCTTTGCGGGGTCTTAGCCAAATCTTGCATATCTAGCCACTTTTGGTCACATCGGTCATTCTTGTAAAATGGGGTCATTTTCGCAAAAGTGGTTCAATAACTCATGTCTTAGGATCTTAAGTCCACAACTAGGTGTCATATTACTTTAACGTCCGTCCTTATTGAGTTTGCATCTTTAGCCATTTCTGGCCATATCGGCCGTTTTGCAAAATGGATCATTTCTGCAAATTATTTTGGGCCATGATTATTAGGAGTTGAATCCATATAAGCTTTAGCGAGGTATTTCCATATCTTTGAGGTCAATCTTGTTGAATATACACTTCTAGTCATCCTTTGCCACATAGGTTAATTTTGCAAAAGTAGCCCGATTATGTCTTGCATGTGTCCAGTAGGAGGTGTTGTGGCGTCGCATAGTGCCTTGAGTCACCGATCTATTTGGTCTTATTTTTCTCATTCAGGTGTGGATCAATGTACCAGATCTCAAGCATGACAAATACCCAGGACCACTGCATTTAGGAGCTGCTTATAGATACTTTTATGTTTTGAGTCTGTCATTCATGTTGTCTTTTACTTTCTGGTCTTGTACAGTAATATCGATTCTTTTGTGATATTACTTCCCATTTTGTATTTGAAAAACCAAAAAAAAAATTAAATGAAAAATCCAAAAAGATTTTTGTTTTTTAGTTTATTTTATCCATCATTTTTTCAGAACTACGCTTGATCAGATTCATGAGGGACATGATACGTAGGCAACATACATAGGGTTCGATCGAATCATCATTTAAAAAAACAAAAACAAAAAAAAAAATAAAGTTGCGGGACGCAAGAAATGAGAGGAAAGAAAAGAGCGATAATCAAAAAGAAAAGAGGGGGGAAAGAAATGAAAAACCAAGCGGTGTTGGAAAGGAAGATGAAGGAGGAAATGGGGAAAGAAGAGTGAAATTGGGATGATGCCATATGACCTTCGCACCCTCGAAGATATTCTAGAATCGTTAACTGTGACTAGGGGGCATTGCAAAAAATGTGATATTTTTATCTGATAAATGCTCTAACGCTAACCTGTTGACTTTGTTTTGCTCCTCTTTGTTACTTTCATTATAGCAGATGGTGGTTAGTTTGTGACACTTTGGTGATTTGTCCATACAACACAAGGTCAAAAGGCAAGGAATTCATGGCTGGCAAAGACTTGGATACAGGGGTTGTCGACCCCTCGAGGGAGATTATGGAGTCGGAATTTGAATTGACAGAGGAGGTCCAAAGGCTGAAACAACAAATGTCTGAAATATGTCAAGCATGGGCCAATGGTCAAGGACCACCCCTTTCTTATATTTTCCCAGAGTTTACACCCATATTGGCTACTACCACTCCAGTTTTATTGTCCGATCAATTCTATCAATTTAGGTTCAGTCTTTATCCCAATCGCGTAACTATAGCTGGAACTTTTGTTGCGTACTCCCAAAGTGTGCCATTTACAACCAATCAGAGAACCACTACAGTTATGCCTGTCTTTATCATCCCGTAGCCGACGGTGGTGCAGAGAAAAACTCATGAGTCATAATTTGCTACACAGCAAGAGCAGTATCACTCTCCTGAGTACCACTCGTACTTGTTTGATCTTCCTGCAAACATTGAGAAGTCTGCCCGAAAGATGGTACGGGAAGAAATGACCCAAAGAGTGAAAAGCTTAGAACAACGATTGAAAAACATGCAAGGGTTGACAGGTCAGAAGAGTATTGCCTTCAAGGATCTATGTATATTCCCCAATGTCCACTTGTCACATGGTTTCAAGATCCCCAAATTCAAGAAGTATGATGGACATGGAGAACCCATAGCCCACCTGAAAAGGTATTGCAATTGACTACGAGGTGTGGGAGGAAATGAAGAATTACTGATAGTTTATTTTGGGGAAAGCCTTACGAGTATAGCCTCTGAATGGTTTTTATGGGTCAAGACACATCTTGCTGGTATGTCTGGGATGACATGGCGCAGGCCTTTGTCAAACAATTCCAATATAACATTGACATCGCCCCGGACCGTAATTCCCTTTCAAATCTGAAGAAGAAACCAACTGAAAGTTTCAGGGAATATGCCATTAAATAGAGAGAACAATCAGCTAGAGTTAAGCCACCCATGGATGACCACGAGCTAATCACTGTCTTCCTTCAGGCTCAAGAGCCCGATTACTTTCAAAACATGATGTCTGCAGTTGGCAAATTATTCTCAGAAGCCATTAAAATGGGAGAAATGGTAGAGAATGGCCTTAAGACAGGCAAAATTATAAGTCAAGCAACTCTCAAAGCTGCAACTCAGGCTGTCCAAATTGAATCTGGTAATTTTAGTGGCACAAGTTAGAAGGTTGAAGAAATCATGATGACATCAAGGTCGAGAAGATGTCATAGAAGAACATCTCGAAGGCATGACCAGCCTCATTTGTTTTTTGACAATTCCCTTGAGAACCCACAATACTCTGTTGCTCCACTCCAGTATCTTGTCCATCCACCAAGACACCCCAGAAGGCGAGCACCAGCACCGCAAGATCTCCAGCAGCCTCTACAAAATTTTCAGGTGCCCTATAACCCACATCCAAACCAGGGGTATAGAGGTAAACAAAGGTTGAAAGATAATTTTACACCGATAGGAGAGTCCTATGCAAGTTTGTTTGAGAAATTAAAGCATCATGACCTGATTGCACCTATTCCTCCGAATCATATGGACCCGCGTGCAAGAAGCTTTGATCTTTCTAAAAGGTGTGAATACCATTCCAATGCCCGGGGGCACAATGTCGAAAGTTGTCGGGATTTGAAAAGGGAGATAGAAAGAATGATTCAAGAAAGGATAATTGTGGTCCAGGATAGTGACACCCAGAACATTGCACAAAATCCTTTACATGTACATGATGATTCACACTTTGTGGGGAAGATGCATGGTGGCAGGGAGTATGAGAATCCTCTTGGAAACTTGCTGACTGAAGTTAATGATATTGAAATTGGTGAAGGTCCCAATAATTTTGATGTGCAACCCAATGGCTAAGATGTCGAACCTAGTAATCAGAAAGACACTCCTTTCTTGGCTAGCCAGGAAAGAGTTTTGGTGGTTTATTTTGTTGTCATTTCTGTTATCCGGGTTATTTTAGGGTTGTAATCCGGATATTGTCTTGTGACCCAAACCCTTCTTCTTCTTATTTTGACTAGTTCGTTTAGTTGTAGCAACTCGTCTAGTGTTATCTAGGATTGTTCCAGGGTTGTAACCCATATCTATTTTGCTTGTTTTGTTTAAACTATGTTCACCATCTGTCTAATGCAATCTCCTGTTTTCTGTTAGTTCTAGTCAGTTTTTGTTTAGGTCACATTCTCTTTTATAATTCTTTTCATGCTGACTCTAGTGACATGACACGCACATATAATTCTCAATCTGGTCTTGAAAGTTAGTCTAATCAGGAAGCAATGTCACAATTTTGAATGTGCATTTGAGGGAACAAGTAAAGATTCACGCATTCTGAGATAACCTAAAGCTTAAATTGAGTGAAACTGAGGTAGTTAGTCTGAAAAATCAATAGGTTGATGAGAGTATACAATAAGGGAATGTCTCTTGAGCAGTTTGAGGTAAATCAGTCAGTGCTGAAATGCATTCTTCCACATCAAGATAAGTTTGAATCAAGTCTGCTTCGAACTGGCAAGGATCATTCATTGGGAGAAAGGTATTGCCTATGACACTTTTTGTTTGTGTTGATGTCGTCAATAGGTACTACGTATGATTTGTTTGCTTATCTTCAATTGCATGTTTGTACTTGGCATTTTTAAGTTTGGTATGACGAAGGCATTTTATTCTGCTACCCAAATACTTTTATCCTTTGCTACCCATTTTGAGCCCAAAGTTTTGTTTCATATCTCTCTTTTGGAATCAGATGTAGAGTTGAGAACTAGAAAAGAAAAGAAAAAGAGAAAAAGGAGAAAAGGAAAGAAAAAAAAAGTAAAAAGAAAAAAAAGAGAATAAAAAAAAGAAAGAAAAAAGAAGAATGAAAGAAAGAAAAGGAAACGAAAACAACAAAATAGTCCAACTTTGTGTTTGAACTACGTTCGACCTGATTCTTGTCACCACAAGATACGTAGGCAGCCTTACGGTTCCGTCACATAAAATAAAATATTTCATGATCCTCGAAGTCAAGAGTGGGGCAGTTTTCTTAGAAATCCCATCAAAGCAAAAATCCAAAAAAATCCCCCAAACTCCAAGAAACTGGGGCAGGAGTTTTAATTTTGCCAAATGATTTGATTCCAAAAGTTGTAATTTTTAACTCTTTCATCTTAGTTATTTTGAGCCTTTATGATATCCTTTATTTCTAACCCTGTCCAAAAGCCTACATTACGTTCCAAAGAAAGACCTTCCGACCAATCTTTGAGGATGTCAAATCAAGTGTGTGGCAAAAGTATGATCTTCCTACATCATGGGTAATACTCTATTCTCATAGAAAAGAGAAAAAATGATAAATGAGAGAGTCTTATAGGTAAAAACCCTCATGGGCACCGTAAGGCGACGGTGAGTTGAGAAAAAGAGCAAAATGAGAGAGGCTTGATGGTGAAAACCCTCAGGGCACTACAAGTCGACTGAGGATTGTGGATCAAATAGGACAATTGAAGCGCTGAAGCCCAGTTTCATAGCGAAGAGGTACAACAAGAGTTGAATATTAGACTTTCTTGAGAGACTAGGCCACTTAATCCAAAGGTGCATGTCATGGTCATTAGAGTTGGTATCCACATCTGATAGGTTTCTACTTTGTAATTTTCTTGTTAGGTATCATCTTTTTCCCCTGTCCTTTATTTTGTTCCTCTTGTTTTGTTTGAGTCCCTTCTTGAGTCTGTTTGGTCAGAACATGTGAGAAATGACTTCAAAATTTTCTACCAACTTTCCAATTGCACAAAGCGGATTCTGGCTAGCACATCAAAATGGCATAAGTCAAGAAAGAATAGTATACGCACTGAGTTGGTCACAATCAACATGCTTTGGGATTCATGTGAAATGCAAAGGTTCAGTAAATGTCAACTCATGAGCAAAATACAACAGATAAAGGATATTGGGGTCGAATGGAGCATAGGTGTTTTCTGTGATAATGGTTGATAGAAAATGAGTAGTCGATAACAGGCAAGGTCTTCCAAGTTGAAATCAAAGTTATCTTGGCAAGTGCAGAAGCAACCACCTTCAAGGTCAAGGCCACAAACTAACCACCACATTTTAAACTCACAAATTTCTTTGTTTGAAACAGGAACAAAGCAGTGCAAGCAAGTTGGTTCAAACAAGAAAAAAAAAAGAAAAGAAAAGAAAGAAAAAGAAAAAAAGAAGAGAAGAATCGACAAAGGGGAGTTTCTCAAATCTTTTCCCTTACCTGTCTTGCTAGTGTGCATACATAGAATGTTGTCATTGCTCTTCACATCTTTCCTCCTAGGATAAAAAGTCCTAGTCTGATGGATTTTCCTCCCAAACAAAATCTTAGTCTGATGAATCTTTCTCCTAAGATAACAGAAAGGGACCTAGTCTGATGAATTTTCTCCTAGGATCAAAATCTTAGTCTGATGAATTTTTCTCCTAAGATAAGAGACCTAATTTGATGAATTTTCTCCTAAGATCATAATTCTGGTCTGATGAATTTTCTCTTAGGATCAAAATCTTAGTCTGATGAATCTTTCTCCTAAGATAACAAAAAGACCTAGTCTGATGAATTTTCTCCTAGGATAAAATCTTAGTCTGATGAATTTTTCTCCTAAGATAACAAAAAGACCTAGTCTG